CGGTGGCGTGGCCAAGCAGAGCCGCGACCCCGTGAGGTTGCCGGGGCCACGGCGCCTCGTGGAGTAGTCCGTGAGACACGCACATTTCACAGGCAGCTGCTGAGTGGCACACGCGCACTGCTCACTCGTGGGGAGGGCCTCCAGAACCAGGGCCGGCCCCCTCGGAAGCCAGCACACATGCGCGGGAGCACCCAGAACCGGGCCAATCGCGAGCCTGGACGGCCGGACGTGGCCCTCGCGGGCTTTGTAACCCTCGAGCCTTTACGCATGCGCACTAGCTGCCAGGCAGGCCGGCCCAACATTACCTCACATATCCGGAGCGCGCGCGGGAGTGCATTGCGCAGGCGCGCTGCCTGGAGTCCCGCCCCCTGCAGGGGTTGCTCCAATCACCACTGGAGGCTCCCTCCCAAGCCACCCGCGCTGCTGAGCTGAGAGGAAATGGCGGGGAGGTCTCTGGCGTCGAAGGCCGAGCCCACCGCCGGAGCCATGGACGGGGCTGAGAAGGCCGAAGGTAGTGGAGGGAGGCAGGGAACTGTGCGTGAGGGTCTGACCTCGCCGAGGCGGGGCAGGGTTGGGGCGCGGGTGGCGGCTACTTCTTCCTGTCAGAACTGATGGTGCTGACTGAGACTTAGCGGGTTTCTTCAGAAAACTTTCCGCCAAGATGAGGGAGTGCTTGCCCGCACACCCCTGACTTCGTCTTAAAGCATTGAACTTTGCTCCAATTTTGGTTTTTAGGTAATTAGTCAAAAGACATCCTGTCGTTCCACAGACTTTCCATACACACCTCTTAAAAAGGACATTTTCCTGACGCTCCCAATCCCAAGGGAATTCCTAATTCCACACTCCTCTTCCTAGAACCAGCAAGTGTCCAGATTTCCCGGTCGCACTAACCTGGTTCTTGACTGTGGGTTCCCACACCCAGCATGCCGATGCCCCGGGGAGCCGGGGGAGGCCGACTCCGCGCAGATCTCCCGTTTGTTTCTCCCCGACCCCGACCTGCCGTAGAGGCTCCTACCTCACCCTGGGAAGGGAGGGACAAGGCAGCTGGTCAGTGTTGTACAGAAGTCCCGAAATTGCAGCCCAACAAAGAGCAAGAACACTGTCCTGGCCGTTTCCACTTCAGGACGCTGTGTACCTCTGGGTGTTTTGGGAGAATTTTCAAACTTACACAAAAGTGGAGAGAATTGTACGGTGACGTCCCTCCTGCTGTCACTCAACTTGTCACTCTGTCCTGAGCTCATGTGTCCCCCCTGAGTTAAAACGCTGCAATTAACAAACGCCACAGTGGCTGCCTCCAGCCCTACCTGCGTGAATATCATGGCAGGTGCTCTGTCGTGTTCTTACAAAATGAAGGTTTGAATACTGAAACAAGCTTGGCACAGAAAGCATCCCTACAGTGAGATGTGGCACAGTGAAAGCCCCAGTGAAGGACAAAGCAAGTAAACAGGACAGACGCAAACGTATCCCTTTCATTAAGCACCTACTGGCCCGCCACTGTGGTAGCCTTTCAGTATCACAGCTCCATGTTCCTCACATAACCTAGTATATTTAGATAAGGTTTAACCAACGTTGCTTGTGCCTTCGTTCAAACTGCTACAACAGAAATGCCATTATTTCTCACAGTTTTCGAGGCTAGAAGTTCAAGATCAAGGTGCAATGCAGCGTCTGGTGGGGGCCTGCTTCCTGGTTGTAGACTTCTGTCTTCTCATTTTGTCCTCATATGGGGGAAGTTGCTGCCGGCCTCTCTGGTTTTATAAGGGCACTAATCCCATTGCTGAGGGCCCTACTCTCATGACCTAATCACCTCCCAAAGGCCCCACCTCCTAATGCAGTCACACTAAGAGATTAGGATTTCAACATACGAATTATGGATGGGGGCACAAACATTCAGTCTATAGTTACCAGCTGTAGAAGAAAGTTAAAGGACAAGATTCCAGTTTTAGTCGGGATGTTATCTAGGATCAGTGACACTAGATGCATTTTAGTAAAAGGTCTGTTAGTCTCCATCTAACTGGCTGCAGTTATTATTATAAAGGGGAATGACTGGGGAAAACGAATGTTTGTGTTTCAATTTTTTCTTCATGCTTTTTCACACATGCCAATTACTTGAATAATGTAAAAATTCATAAATTTATGAGCAGTGATTTGTGTAAGATTTCAGGTGGGACCAAAATGAGGGGACTCTATAAACTCAAAAATAAGCATTTCACAAAACTCTATGCTTGATTTTTTTTTTTTTTTTTTGAGACAAGATTGTGCTCTGTTGCTCAGGCAGGAGTGCAGTGTTACAATCACTGCTCACTGCAGCCTTGACCTCCTGGCCTCAAGCAGTTCTCCCACCTCAGCCTCTTAAGTAGCTGCAATCACAGGTGCATGTCACCACTCCCAGATAATATTTTTAAATTTGTTATTTGTAGAGATGGGGTTTTGCTGCATTGCTCAGGCTGCTCTTGAACTCCTATGCTCAAGCAGTCCTCCTGCTTCAGCCTCCCAAAAGTGCTGGGATTATGGATGTGAACTACTGAGCCTGGCCTTATGCATGTATCCATGATTTTTAATGGCTGTAAATGATTTATCCTGTGTATGTGCTATAATTTATTTAACAAATCCCCTAAGACATATTTAGGCTTCTTCCAGTTTTTTACTATTATAAACAATATAGTGATGAACACCTTGCGCATTATCCATATCAGAATTACTTAGGACATTGTCTTAGAAAAGAAGATGCACCCAAACTTTTGATATTTACTATCAGAGAGTTTGTAAGGAGACACCTTGATTTTGCATATCTGGTTGACAAAGATGAACACATTTGGAAACACAGGTGGTTGGTAAAAATGAAAAACTGGGCATCTTGTATACATCAGTGGAGGGTAATTTGGTAATGTCGATCAAAATTGTGACAAACTTTGGTCAGGTGCCTCTGAGCCTTCTCAACTATGCCTCGGCCTTGGCCTGTGATACGGTTTCAATCTGTGTCCTCACCCAAATCTCATGTTGAATTGTAATCCCCAGTGTTGAAGGTGGGGCCTGGTGGGAGGTGGTCGGATCACAGGAGACCAATTTTATTTAGATAGTGACCACCTATCTTTTAACTGGATCTCTGAGCTCTGGGAAGAGGCCACACTGAATCATGGGTGTCCAAAAAGGGAGAATTATTATGAGGCTAGACCACATGGATGCTTTAACAGTGCACTTAAGAAACATTTTAAAAAAAAAAAAATTCTAAGTGTCTAAAATATACTCTTCCTTAAAAACGCAAGAGTAGCTTCTGTTGCAATAATTAGTAAAAAGAAAAAAAAAAAAATATATATATATATATATATCAGGTAACACAGTACAAAAGCAAGCAGTTTAAGAGCTAAGATGAATTTGTCTGTTTACACTCTTGGAAATGCATAAGGAAAAGCAGTTTTCTCCGCAAATGGGAGTCTGATGCCTTCTCCATTTTCTTTAAGGAACCTCATGCTATTATAAACTGTTTTAGGTCCCTCATGCAGCAGAGGGTGCAAGAGAAAGGAGAGACAGCAGAACTAAATGAAGAAAACAGCCTTCAGTCAACTGAGAAGAAAAAAAAAACTTTTGCTCAAAAAACACAAGGACCTAGGAGAGAGAAAAAAGAAAAATCATGAAAGCCTTTTAAACACACACACACACACACACACACACACACACACATATATATCTTGGATGTTAGCTTTTAATTAAGCTGACTTTTAACCTTTTGAGTTTCTTTTAAATTTTTTTTCCAAATCTCTTCAACATATTTCAGCTAGGACGAATAGCTGCTATTTCAGAAGTACCAAGTATCAAACCAGAAAGGTCTTGATTTAGGAACCAAACCCAGGCTGTTACGGAAAAAAAGAAGACAGAACCTCAGCTATGGAACTGCAGTGTGGGTGACAATCATTTCTCTTTCAGTTTGGCCTGGCTAGCAAAAAGATAGCCTTGTTATGTAAATGAAACCACTTAAGTAGTCAAAATCAAAAATCTTCTCCCCCTTTTTTACTTTTACTGGCCGTTTTTTCTTCCCCCACCACCACTTTTCTGATGGGAATTTAGCCACTTCAGAGGCCTTGTTCCACATAATTTGGAACTTTCCTTTGGATTTGATCAAGTCAGATAGAATTGGCCAAACCCAATGGGAAAAGGACCAAAACAGCAAAAACAGAAAGAAACAACAAAAAAAAATAGCGGTTAAGCATAACAAACAAATGATCACACAACTTGTATGATTACTGAACACTGTAATGGTAAGGAAAAATTAAGAGCAGCTGGTTGTTAATCTTACCTTTAGCCAAGACAAACCCCAATTCAGTTACTTACCTAGGGACGGGTCTTAGGCTGAAGACTTGTCTCTATCATGTTAGAAGCAGGAAAAAAAAACCCTCAAACTTGTCTTTCCTGTTGGGAGCGAGTTCAAACTCCAGAAATGAGTTTTCATGGTAGCAGGAAAACTTGCCTTCCTTGTCGAAAGCAAGTAAAACTCCAGAAAAAGAGAAGAGTTGTTCAGAAAATAAACTTTGGCCTTCGAACGAATTTTGGGAAATGAGGGATTCCCTGGATAGGGGAGTTCCAGACCTCAGCAACTTGTGAAATTAGTTTGAGCCACAAAGATAGCTCAAGCTGCTAGCAGGCACTGGTAGAATATTTGTCAAAGGTCAGGAGCACCTCTACTCAGAATCCCTTTGTGGTTGCCAAAATGTGAAACCCCAAAATCTGAGACAGGTCTCAGTCAATTTAGGAAGTTTATTTTACCAAAGTTAGGGATGCATGCCTGCGACACAGCCTCAGGAGGTCCTGATGACATGTGCCCAGGGTGGCAAGGTAGTCAGAGCACAGGTTGGTTTATATGCTTTTTAGGGAGACATGAGACATGAATCAACATATGTAAGATGAACATTGGTTCGATCTGGAAAGGTGGGTCACCTCAAAGCATTGATGAGACAACTTGAAGCAGGGAGGTTGACTTCAAGATCATAGGTAGATAAAAAACAAATGGTTGCATTATTTTGAGTTTGTGGTTAGCCTTTCCAAAGGAGGCAATCAGATATGCATTTATCTGAGTGAGCAGAGAGATGACTTTGAATTCATTTATTTTCAGATATTTATTTTACAAAATCAGATACACATCTATCTCAGCAGAGGGTAACTTTGAATTGATTTATTTTCAAATATTTATAAAAAGATTTATTTTCCTTTCACAATGTTAATGCCATAAATAATTTCTTATATCTACTAATTTTAGTGTTAAAAATAGGTTCCAATAATTATAAAAAATTAATATGAAATTTTTTTTTTTTTTTTTTTTTTTGAGACGGAGTCTCACGCTGTCGCCCAGGTTGGAGTGCAGTGGCGCGATCTCGGCTCACTGCAAGCTCCGCCTCCTGGGTTCACGCCATTCTCCTGCCTCAGCCTCCTGAGTAGCTGGGACTACAGGCGCCCGCCACCGCGCCCGGCTAATTTTTTTGTATTTTTTAGTAGAGACGGGGTTTCACTGTGGTCTCGATCTCCTGACCTTGTGATTCGCCCGCCTCGGCCTCCCAAAGTGCTGGGATTACAGGCGTGAGCCACCACGCCCGGCAATATGAAATATTTTATGGGGAGATTTCAGGTTTAGTATTGGTTGTATATAGGAAAGCTATTTGTATTTATATATGTTTTTAAACTAACATCCTAAGGCATTTTGCTACTAATCCTTATGGTTTTATAGAAAACTCTCTTAAGAACTTCCTAGATTATGTTATCTGCTAGTTACAATGATTTTTGACTCCTTGTTCCAGGTTTTTATACCCTCATTTTTTTTCTTGAATTATTATATCAGGAGCTTTGACCTTACTTTGAACAGCCTCAGCAGTGAGAGTACACCCCTGCCCTCACCCAGAGTTTTACAAAGGGCTGCCTGGTATAATTTTACCCTGCAGGGAAAAGCTGACCATGGAGGAGCCTGATTCATCTAGTGTACTGTTCACCTTAGGACAAGGAGCAGGGCTACCACTCTGGCTGGAGACCTGCCCTCAGTCTACCTCAGTCTCAGCCCAGGGGCTGTCAGATCCTTCCTCTGGCCTCTCGCCCTGCTTGATTCTGAAATGTTTGGTTTTGTCTCCACAGGGCAGGACACATCCTCACAGAAAATTGAAGACTTGATGGAAATGGTGAAAAAGCTGCAGAAAGGTCATGTGTCTCCTTTGTGTGAGGCTCAGCCTGAGATTTGGGGCCAAGCAGATGTGGGTTCAATTTCCAGCCCCACAATGTACAAACTTGGGAAATAATCCTCTTCACCTTCTCTTTCTTTTAAAACTTAATTACTTAAACTAAAAATAGGGTCCCATCATTCAAAATTAAAGAAGGAAAAAGGGTAAGGAAGGCAAAGTGTTATCCCAAAACCCTGTCCCAAACCTCTTGCTGGTCACCCATTTGGCTCCACTGCAGTCCATTAAATCCAGAAGTTGCCACCTTTACTTCCCTTTCTTTCCCCTCAACCGCTACTCCCTCTTTGCTCACTAGGCTCCTGCCAGCCATGTTCCCACCTCAGAGGTGTTCTTTGCACTGACTACCTCCCACCCCAACCCAAAGAGCTGCAGGGCCTGCCCCCCTGCCACCTGATTTGGGGCTCTCATGATACCTTCCCATATCTGAGGAGCGCTTTCCACTCCTTTGCGCTTTAACGCCCCTTGCCCTACTTTATTTCTCTTGAACACAGTTACCACAGCCCCACTCGGTATCTTATTGTGTCTGTTCCCAGTCTCGCCCACCCAGAACATGAGCCCTGTGAGGGCCCCACACAGCACCTGCTTTCAGTAGGTACTCAATAGATCTGTGTTGCGTGAAAGCAGCAGAGACACAAGGCTGGCAAGCACCCCACCTCTGCCTGCCCTGGCAACTCAACCTCCTTTCCTCCCTGCAGTGGGAAGCCTAGAGCCCCGAGTTGAGGTCCTGATTAACCGGATTAATGAGGCCCAGCAAGGTGAGTTCAGGGGCCTTGGCTGCCAGCTAGTACCAGCTACATGGTTTGCAGGGCTCTGTGCCAAATGAGAATGCAGGGTCCCTTGTTCCAAAGTTACTGGTTATTCACAACAGCAGCAGCAGAGCCTTAAATTAAGCACAGGGCATTTCAGCATGCAACTGCCATAGTTAATATACCCATGATCCTAGCCCTGCTATCAGCAGACCCTGGCAAGGAGAGCCTGGACTCTGGAAGCCTCATTTCCTACTGTATAAAATCTAGGCCACTATAGATTTTCCTGAAGGCAAATGAGAAATGTCACTGTTGGCAAGAGAATAGAGGCTACACTCACACAATGTTTTTCTGCTCTCTGGTGAAGCCAAAAAGAAAGCCAATGAAGACCTAGGAGAGGCCCGGACCATCTGTGAGGCCCTGCAGAAGGAACTGGACTTGTGTAAGAGAGCCGGGGGTCACCCAGAGGTCCCCACAGTGTCTCAAGCCTCCCCTAACCCTGTATTCCAGATGATAAGCATCCTTGCCATGGCCGAGGGTCCTGTACCCTCTCCAGCCTCATGTCCTGCCAGTCTCCCCCTCTCTTCTCTGCTTGTGGAAGTGTTCAAGAAATACCCTCCAACCTCATTCCCACCTCAGAGCTTTTGCCAGGTGCTGCCTATGCTTCCTCAGATAATACAGGTTCCTCTTTCCTCACATCAACAGTTCTAAGTTAGAATGTCCCCAGACAGGATGACTGGCATTCCCCAGTCATCCCATCTAAAGGTGGCACCCTGTCAGCATCTGGTCACATGCCCCTTCCTATTTGATGTGTTTCTTCACAGCCCTTACCCGACTTCATGGGTGTTTGTATTTTTTCTCTCCTCCCCATATAAAAGCATGGGCATCCTCCAGGGCCCTCACAGCCACCCTCTGTAAATGTGAAGGCCCTTTGGTGCTTACAGGGAATGTGGGCACCAGAGAGTAGGGAGGGGCTCACTTCGAGGGGTTCACATTTGGGTTGGGGGCAAGGCTGTGCCTAACTTCTCATGTGACCGTGAGCAATCCCCATCCCTGAGGGTGCGTTGCATAGTCCCTGATGCCAAAATGTGTCACTGTTTTCCAGTGCATGGAGAGAAAGTACACCTGAAGGAGATCTTGAGCAAAAAACAAGGTATCTGCCACTCCCGTCTCCAGGCTTGTTCCTTTTGCCAGCCCACAGAGGCCCACTCTCCCCCTATGGCAGCTGAAGCCTTTTGAAACCTATCCCAGCTTGCCTCTCGCCTGTGGCTTCCACCAGACATGTAGTAAATGTTAAAGCTCAATCAAGTGTCCACAGACCTGACATGATCTGGCCGTGTTCCCCTGCCAAAACCTGATACCTTGACAGGTTCTCATAGGGCCCTGTTGCTCTCCCTACAGAGACCCTGAGGATCCTCCGGCTGCATTGCCAGGAAAAGGAAAGTGAGGCACAGAGGTAAGAGCTTCCAGCTGAGCCTAACTCTGCCCCTACCTCTTTATTCTGGTAGAGCAGAAAGAGGCAGGAAGGTGAGTCTGAGATCCACAGCTCTCATTCTCTCTCTCTAAACAATGGAGAGTCCAAAGAGTGTCTTTCCCCTTTGGCTCCAACAGCAGGCAGTAGTGTTAAAGGTAACTCTCTCAGTGGCATAGACGTTCATTTGCTAAATTATCAATTAAATTTCTTCAACTGGTTTTTATTCTTTGCCTCTTACTCTTTGTCATACTCCTTGGATGTCTGTTCACTCATCTGTCTGTTCACTTGTCTGTTGGCATTGAGCCAACCACTTGTCCATTCTCTCTCCATCCATTATCTTTTCATCCACCCATCGATTTGTCCATGCATTTCTCCACTTCCTGATTTAGCTCATTTTGTTACCAGAGGCCCCAGGCCCTAGCACACTGAGATTTCAGTTCTTTGGGAAAACCAGATGATACTAAGATGTGTGTGCATTTGCTTACTTGACCATGTCCACACTCATCTCTCTTAACCTGACAACATTACTTCCAGGGGGCAAATGCTCACGTCACTCCCTACCCATCACTTGTTACAGAGAAGGACCTTAATGTAGAGGGGGAAAAAATAGCCTCAATAGAGGGAGGCAGAAGCCCCAACCCAGTGCCCTCCTGGGGCTTAAGAAAACATGGCTGAGGGCTGCCTCACCTCTCCCAGGAAGCACACCGTGCTGCAGGAGTGCAAGGAGAGAATTTCTGCTCTAAGCTTGCAGATTGAAGAAGAGAAGAACAAACAGAGACAGCTGAGGTAAACCTTAGCACCTGAGGCAGGGGGTTTGGATGGCTGGTAGTTGGGGCATAATGTCAAAGATGGGGGTTAGAAGAGCTGGCTACGCTGAGCCTTAGAGGTTCAAGGTGGAGAAGATGCTCCCAGTGGAGCAGAGACCATGAGCAAAGCACCCCAAGGTCTGTGCCTGAAGACCCACAGACTTGGACAGGCTGTGAAGGTGGTGATGTCATCCCATATCACCTCATGCCTGTGGTTGGTCCCCAGGTTAGCGTTCGAGGAACAGCTGGAGGAGCTGATGGGCCAGCACAAGGACCTCGGGGACTTCCATGTGAGTCCCTCAAAGCCATTTCTCCCCTTTCCACATCTACCCTAGCAGCACCAGGCCCAAACGGTCACTTCCTCTCACCTGCCACACCCAGTCCTCGAGCAAGCCCTGGTGGTGCTAAGATCAACATTGCCCAAATCCAGCCCCTTGTCACCTCCTTGTGGCCCTGCTGCTCAGTGGTCAGGGGCATCTCTGATGAGCCAAGGTCAAGTTTTCCTTCAGTGTCAGTGGATGTGTCTGGAACCATCACGGGCACAAGGGAGACAACGAGGATAAGCAATCAGTGTTTGCCCGCCAGGAGGACCCCAGGCACTGAACAGGAAAATAGACAGTGAGTGTTAGGAAGGAAGGGCTCAGTGAGGAGGTCACGCCAGGACAGAGGGGAGTGGGGGGAGCTGCAGAGCTAAACTGGTACCTGATCCTCCAGAAAACGGCCAAGACTCATAGTGTTTGCAGGTTTATCTGTTACAACAATCCATGAGCCTCCCCACTGCAGCACTGCAGAGATGTGGGATGACAGAAGTGCACAGGGAGGAAATGGCCAGTGCCATGGCCCTAAGGCTGTACTGTGGCTGGTGTGCACAGAGGGGCAGAGTTGTTCGAAGTGAGGCATAGTGAGCAAGTATGAAACAAGATCCAGATAGCCTTCTTTGAGGCATGGGGGAAAGCCAAGAGGTGTGGACAGGCCTCTTTTCTTCCCCCTCAGAGGCCAGAGCGGCTGGCAAGGGAGATTTGTGCTCTGGACAGCAACAAGGAGCAGCTGCTCAAGGAAGGTGAGGCCAGGGAAGGTGGATGGCCCATATCTGACCTCACGTTCCCTCATGTGCTCACCTGCCCCTTCGTGCTGCAGAGAAACTGGTCAAGGCAACACTGGAAGATGTGAAGCATCAGCTGTGCTCCCTGTGTGGGGCTGAGGGCCCCTCCACCCTCGATGAGGGACTCTTTCTCCGCAGCCAGGAGGCTGCAGCCACAGTGTAAGATGTGGAGGTGAAGAGGGTGGGAGGAGGGAGTGGCCGGTGCTGACCACCCCCTACTGGACCCCCCAGGCAGCTGTTTCAGGAAGAGCACAGGAAGGCTGAGGAGCTCCTAGCAGCTGCTGCCCAGAGCCACCAGCAGCTGCAGCAGAAGTGCCAACAATTGCAGCAGAAGCGGCAGAGGTGTGTGTGGAGGCGCTGTCCCCGCAACCCCCACCAGGAAGGTGACTGATGTTGTATCTCCTCTCTCCACTTTCTGTCTCTCTGACTGTTGAAAACCTCTTGTCCCTCCTCCACCCTTCCCTCTTCTTCCTTCCCCCATCCTACCTCTTCCTGTCCAGGCTGAAGGAAGAGCTAGAAAAGCGTGGAATGCAAGTCCCTGCCCAAGCCCAGAGCACACAAGAGGAAGAGGCTGGCCCAGGAGAAGTGGTAAGTCCCAGAACTGGGTGTCAGGGAACAGAGACAGCTACTGAAGGGATGGCGGAAGGGACAGGAGGACAAGGGAGGGGGTCCTGGGACTCCTCAGAGGATGGTCTGTGGTGAAGGGCTTTCCCATAGTGGGTCCACCCAAGGTGCTGATGGGGCAGGAGGGGACCATGTGGCCGTGGGGACAGATATAGATTCCCACCCTGGACACTAACCACCTGCAGGCCAGTCCCAAGCCCCTAAAAGCCCCTGAGGAGAAAGACCTGGAGCTGCACACCAAGCAGGACCTGATGTCCTCATAGGCCAGGAGGACACACTCCACCCCTGACCTTAGCCCAAGGGGCTTTCAGGAAACAAAGGAGTTACTTTGATACAACCCATCTCATCTGAGTCTACTGGTGAGGAGTAGGGGTTGGGCCCAAGACCCCCAGGCTCCTGTGACTGATTGAAGCCTCGGCTTGACTCTGCCTCTGGGTCTGGGCCAGAAATACATCACAGGTTTTCAATAAATGCTTCCTTAACCTCCTGGTCTCTGGATTGCTCATCTCTGGGACCTGCCAGGCTCTTCTGGGTCCCCAGGCAGAGGGATGCAGGCCTGAGACGCTCTCACAGTGGGCCCAGGAGGTCTGGAACCCACCTCCATACACACGTACACACACCTTGTGATTTATTCTTCAATTCCTTCATTACAGGTCTGGACTATACAGACTCCCAGAAATTAAAAAAATTTAAAAAAATGAGGATCAGTGAGCCGGGATTCAAAATCAGCCAGTTCCATATGATAGTCTCCACGTGTTAGCTGTGTAGTTTGTGCTCTCAAGAACACAAAATGTATAACTCAGGTACTTTTGGACAGGAACAGGATAGAAATCCTCAGCGTGCAGGGAGTCAATCAACTAGGATGTAAGTCATGTGCATCTGATGCGTGCTTCAAATTCACTGAAATGCATTGACCCAATCAAGGCCAATGGTGGGAGTCAAAGTCTGCATGTTCTGAGTCAGAATACATTGAATTCATGACAAAAGAGATCCCTTTTCTTGACAGGCTCCCAGACCAGGTAGACCAGTGACATGGTGGAGTTGAAAAGAGAGGCTCACTGAAGAGCACTGTTTCCATGGAAAAATGGAACATGGCAAAGTGCAGAAATTCTTCAGTCAGTCCAGGACAGACGAGTTCTCTAAGATGCAGTTAATTATGCCTGTTTCAAACAAACTGGTGATACACTATCAAACATGAATTTTAAATCAAGTGGAAGTTAGAAAATATATTGAACTGAATGGCAATGAAGACACCACATTTTAAAACTAATTCAGTTAAGCCCATGATTAGAAAGAACTTTAGCTTTTATTGGTTCACCACAATTTTTTAAAAAAAATCAACCAGTGATTGTTCAGTTAATGAATAAAAGGCCTTTGACACAGTTCAACATTTATTCATGTGAAAAAAAAAAAAACTAAAAAAACAAACAGCTTCCCTTAGATTTATTGGTGAGATGTCTAAACAATTTCATGTTGAAAATAACTCAAGGATGTCTGCAATATTCAAATACTGTTTATCATACTAGAAGTTCTATACGGTGAAATAGTTAAGACATGGATTTATGATTATATGCTTTATGAATCTCAATCTACAGATAAATTTCAGAACGTCTAAATGAGTATAAAAGTTTGCTAAATACAGGTCAATATTTCAAAATCACTTTTGTGTCTCAATGCTAGGGCACAGGACCCACAAAATACATCACTTAGCAATCTACAGTTAGTTGATAGAAAAGGATACAATAAACCAGTAACAAAATAATGATATGCATCAGATAAGGATAAGCATCTCAGCCAAAGGCTGCCTCAGTGAAGGGTCAGGAGAGGCTGGCACGAGCTCTATTTTTTTCCTCTCTGCAGGGTTCTGCCAGAATATGCTTCCTCAGGTAAGAAATCAGCTGTGTGTGTAGAATAGCTCAGAATGGGAGAACTGTGCTGGTTCTCTACACTCATTTGGAGCCGTAGTGTAGGAATATAATATAAACTGGGATTCTTGTATACCCTGCTGGTCATGTAGACATACTCTCACTGTAAATTAGCTCCCAACAGAAGATCTCCTCCTGTGTTTTCGCCAAGACCAGGTGGAAACCTATTTAATAATCAGTTTTACTACTACCAATGGCAATGGTGATGAGATGGTACCAACCACACCCAAACTCAACTTGGATTCACTTATTAATTTGTATATTTGACACCTCAGTTAGGGGTCACTGCCATGCAGGTACATCTCATTCCAGCAACAGAGCTCAGCCCATTGCATACCTGGTAGAACTAATAGCCAGCTACAAAAGCAAAAATACACTTGAAAATAAATGCAGTATTATAAAAATACCATGTACCAAGGAATTAATGTAGCGACAGATGTATGTTATTTCCCCAAAACAACTTTAGAGAAAATTTAAAAGATCTGAATAAATGGAGAGAAAGGTCATGTTCATTAATGGAAACTCATTACTGTAAAGATGTCCTTCCTGCCTAAGGACATATAAGTCCATTATAATTTCAATAAAATTTTGCAGAAATCTCCTGTATTCCAGACATACTCTTCCTTATGAAAGAGTAGTCCAAATTCCACTCAGTAGTCGGGATCAGCCACCCCAGCCAGTAACTCCCTCTTTGCTGGTGATTCAGAGGCATGAGTAGCCCAAAGTGGCCAGTGGCAGCCTTGCAGTTCAGTGGAATCACTAGGGTGTCTGAGTGGAAGGATTTCTTCCTTCAGAACTAAGACCTAAGAGCACAGTCATGGGAACAGGATACAAAACCTTTGCTCGTGGGTCACTAGGGGTAATAATGGGGATACCACTCTCATTTCTACCCTGTGATTTTTGGACCTGTGAATTATGGCTACAAAAGAAACAGTACTCAATATTGGACACTGATTCAGAGCATATACAGTCTTCTAGAGAATCTTGTTCCATCCCTGCAAGGTATTGCCACCTAGCTAGTACTTTGGGTCTTCAAAAGGCCACTCCGTTAGTCTGTCAAACCAGCTGCTTCAGGGTGGTGGGGAACATGGTAAGACAAGTTAATTCCATGAGCATGGACCCATTGAAGTGCTTCCTTTGCTGTGAAGAGAGTTCCTTGATCAGCAGCAATGCTGTGTTGTAGTACCGTGGTTGTGGAAATGGCATTCTGTAAGCCCACCAGTAGTAGTAATGGCAGAGGCATTGTCTGCAAGCAAATGTGTATACAGATATATCCTTATCATTCATTATTCCTTCTGGAGTTGGAGTCACTACTGATAATAACCAAGGCACTATACTAACCATTTCACTTGTCAGGATACACAATGCTGGACTCTTGAAAGAGGCATTGAATAAAATTTAATTTCCCTGCTAGACCCAAGATAGCTGATTTAACAAAGAGGCATAGTGGTCTCCTAAAACAACCCCTTTTCAAATACCAGTTCAGCAATGGATCTCTAAATACGTCTCTGTCTTGCCACAAACCTTACTCTCTTAATTGAAGGGGTTTTTGTAGACTCACACCTTATACCAACTTGAAAAACCTTCCCATCACACTTTCCTATCTTTAAAGTGGGATATGTTTCATCTCTATGTATACAAAGACTGCTTATAAATGAGGGCCTTTAATAATGTCTCCTAGTTTTATGACATTTTCTTCCTGTCCCCACCCCATAAGGGCTAGAGGCCAGATCCATTAACTGTAGAACATCCCATGGACCAGGTAGCTGCCCATCTGCAATAGGACCCATGTAAGCTTAACTTTCACTGTCTCTAAGTCCTTCCTGAATATTTCTCTTTTTAAAATTTTTTTTTTTTTTTTAAAGAAATGTGGCATTTTCAATTACGGTCAAATATCAAGGATATTCTTTTTTTTTTTTTTTTTTTTTAAGTTCCAGGGAACGTGTGCAGGATACACAGGTTTGTTACATAGGTAAACCTGTGCCAGGGTGGTTTGCTGTACCTATCAACCCATCACCTAAGTATTAAGACCAGCATGCATTAGCTGTCTTTTCTGATGCTCTCCCTCCCACCATGTCATCCCACCATAGGCCCCACAGTGTGTTGTTCCTTTCCATGCATCTATGTATTCTCATCATTCAGCTCCCATTTGTGAGTAAGAATATACAGTTTTCTGTTCCTGCATTAGTTTGCTGAGGATAACGGCTTCCAGCTCCATCCATGTCCCTGCAAAGGACATGATCTCATTTCTTTTTATGGCTGCATGGTGTTATCCAGACTGTCATTGATGGTCATCTGGGTTGATTCCATGTTTTTGCTATTGTGAGTAGTGTTGCAGTGAACACACACATGCATGTATCTTCATAGTAGAATGATTTAATGATCTGTATTCCTTTGGGTATATACCCAGTAATGGGATTGCTGGGTCAAATGGTATTTCTGGTTCTGGGTCTTTGAGGAATTTCCACAATGGTTGAACTAATTTACATTCCCACCAACAGTATAAAAGTCTTCCTGTCTCTCTGCAGCCTCACCAGCATCTGTTGTTTCTTGACTTTTTAATACTTGCCATTCTGACTGGCATGACATGGTATCTCATTGTGGTTTTGATGTGCACTTCTCTAATGATCACTGATGGTGATCGTTTTTTCATATGTTAGTTGGCCACATAAATGTCTTTTTTGAAAAAGTGTCTGTTCATGTCCTTTGCCCACTTTTTAATGGGATTGTTTTGTCTTGTAAATTTGTTAAAAATTTTCTCCCATTCTGTAGGTTGTCTGTGCTGATGATAGTTTCTTTTGCTGTGCAGAAACTCTTTAATTAGAGCCCATTTGTCTATTTTTGCTTTTGTCGTCATTGCTATTGACATTTTTGTCATGAAATCTTTGCCTGTGGCTATGTCCTGAATGGTACTGCCTAGGATTTCTTCTAGGGTTTTTATAGTTTTCAGTTTTACTTCCAAGTCTTTAATCCATCTTGAGTTAAATTTTGTATAAGGTGTAAGGAAGGGTTCCACTTTCAGTTTTCTACATATAGCTAGCCAGTTGTCTGAGCACAATTTTATTTATTTATTTATTTATTTATTTATTTATTTAAGATGGAATCTTGCTCTGTCACCAGGCTGGAGTGCAGTAGTGCGATCACAGCTCACTGCAACCTCCACCTCCCAATTTCAAGTGATTCCCCTGCCTCAGCCTCCTGAGTAGCTGGGACTGCAGGTGTGCGCTACCACACCTGGCTAATTTTTTGTATTTTAGTAGAGATGGGGTTTCACCATGTTGGCCAGGAAGGTCTCATCTCCTGACCTCGTGATACATCTGCCTTGGCCTCCGAAAGTGCTGGGATTACAGGTGTAAGCCACCATGCCCGGCCACCAGCACCATTTGTTAAATAGGGAGTCCTTTCCCCATTACTTTTTTTTTTTTTACCAGGTTTCTTGAAGATCAGATGGTTGTAGGTGTGTGGCCTTATTGCTGAGTTCTCTATTCTGTTCCACTGACCTATGTGTCTGTCTTTGTACCAGTAGCATGCTGTTTAGGTTACTGTAGCCTTGTAGTATAGTTTGAAGTCTGGTAGCTTGATGCCGCCAGCTTTGTTCTTTTTGCTTAGGATCGTCTTGGCTATATGGGCTCTTTTTTGGTTCCATATGAAAATTAAAGTAGTTTTTTCTAATTCCATGAAGAATGTCAATGGTAGTTTGATGGGAATAGCATCACATCTATAAATTACTTTGGGCAGTATGGCCATTTTTGTGATATTAATTCTTCCTATCCATGAGCATGGAATGTTTTTCCATTTGTTTGTGTCCTCTCTGATTTCCTTGAGCTGGTTTGTAGTTCTCCTTGAAGAGGTCCTTCACTTCCCTTGTTAGCTATATTCCTAGGTATTTCATTCTCTTTGTAGCAGTTGTGAATGGGAGTTCATTCATGATTTGGCTCTCTGCTTGTATGTTGTTGGTGTACAGGAATGCTTGTGATTTTTGCACATTGATTTTTGTATCCTGAGACTTTACTGAAGTTGCTTATCAGCTTAAGAAGATTTTGGGCTGAGACCATGGGGTTTTTCAGATACAGGATTGTGTCATCTGAAAACAAAGACAATTTTACTTTCTCTCTTGCTATTTAAATACACTTTATTTTTTTCTCTTACCTGATTGCCCTGGCCATAAATTCCAATACTATATTGAATAGGAGTGGTGAGAGAGTGCATCCTTGTCTTATGCTGGTTTTTAAGGGGAATGCTTCCAGCCTTTGCCCATTCAGTATGAT